TAATATTACATAACACTCCAGTACTCCTTTATTTGCTTCTCACAAATTTTTCTATTGATTATTACTTTGTTTATCTTTTGAAAGGAATCTTTGGCTATTCCAATTCATTTTTCTCATTTTGGTGTTGCATTTTAATCATCATAGAGGAAAATGAACACTTTATTGTCCTTGCTCCTCACTAAAGAATTCTCATTCTTTTGCATTCTCAGTAAACACTTATGTCTTAGTGGCATTATTGTCTTGCTTGGGGTGAAATGATTTAAAATTCAGAATTATTTCAGTCCAAAATTTCTGATGAATAGTGAAACATGTCATATTTATAAACATTTCTGAGTTGTTCTTTATTCAATCATAGTGTGCTGGTGGTGTAATGGATAATGGGTTGGAATGAACAATTAGAGAGCAGAGTTCAAATTCCAGTTGGGTTTGTTACATTCAGTTACAGGCAAATACTCTTGGGAAAGATATGAATCCATCTTCTTCCTCTGCTCCTGCTTTGTGTTAAATAGTAGTACTTTAAGAAAAAACATTATTCTCAAAGAAATGTTAATGAAATATTCACTTGAAAAAATTAATTTTGCTTACAATCTAAAATATATTTCAGCTTTAAATAACCCAAAAAGGGTTGATAATCCATAAAAAATCAATTAATCATCATTCAATCAGATATATAAACATATGAGAAAAAGCTGAATAGATTCCAATCAGGCCTACCTCTCAAAATCAGTATTTCAACTGCAAACCAATTGTTATGATGAATGTATCATCTTAACTACTAATCATACAGGACAGTTAAGAACAAATTTGGAGAATATTAACATTTTTTTTTTTTGCACAGCAGTGGCAGCATACACAGGGGATTGAAGGAAAAATGTGGTTTTCTTCCATGACCATTGCAAGGTTGCATACAGCAAGAATATCACAGGAAAAACATTTTAGAATTAGGTTGGTCTATTCTACCCTATCTGCTATATTCACCTGACCTTGCACCAAGTGAACATTACCTTTTCTAGTTGCTGCAAAAGGCTTTGATAAAGAAAAATTCTCAAATGAAAATCAAATTCAAGAGTTCTTTGAAAGCCTTTTCACATCAAAAATTGTGAAAGTCTACTCCAAAGGTATCAAAGATTAATAGCAACAAGTCATACTAAACGATTGTGAATATTTTATAGAATAAAATAAAATTGTACTTTAATTTTTGTAGAATTAAGTTCAGATATATATATATATATATATATATATATATATATATATATATATATATATATATATATATTATTATTTATTTGAATTTTATGGTATCTTATCAAGTGATGGTGTTGAATGTAGAATAAAGGGTTTTAAAGGTTCTAAGAATTGAAGGTTAAAGGATTTGAACCTTTTAAAACCCTTTATTCTACATTCAACACCATCACTCCATAAGACACCAGAAGTGTTGAAACAAAATGGCTATTTTTCTAGTGATTTTATATATTTATATTATAATTTTCAAATAAATAATTATATTTCCTCTACTCCATATTGAGCACTCTTAAGAATAGTATTTGTTGGTTATTGTAATTTATTCTGTATATACCAATCCTATACTTGGATATATATATATATATATATATATATATATATATATATATATATATATATATATATATATATGAGAAAAAGAGAGACAAGGAGATAGATATAGGTTTCTCAATAAAAGTGTCCACCCACAACTAAAAATAAAAATTTTATGCATTCTCATGCAATTTTCAATCAGTCAGTTATTTGGGAAAATGGGGACCTTTATACTCCTTTGGTAACTAGTGATTTCTCTCACTTTCACTTTCTGTAACCTCCTGCATACTAGTGGTATTCCCACCATACTTGGGATGAAATGATTAAAAAAAAGTTTGAGATATTACAAGGGTAATTGATGCTACATACCATCCACACAGTAACCAAACTCACTACAGATGAAGGTTGGCTCTCCAGTCAACATAGAACTGCCAAAAAATACATATTATTTGGGTAAAAAAACAAAACAAAAAAAAAACAACAACACAGGCATATATAAATATAACTAAATTTTATTAAAATCATTCAAAAGGTCCTGCAGACTTCATTTTTTAATTTATTATACAAATTTTCAAATATATCATTGCGTATCTGGACAGCCAGATCAAAATTAGGGACAAACTTCTAAGTTCCTTTATTCAATTACTTTTAACAATCTTGATATCAACATCATCATAGACAAAACAAAGAAAACAGTACTAAACTGTCTTTCCTCTTATATGACAGATGAAGAGATTTGAAACAACAGAAATATGGTTCTACAGAAGAAGGATGCTGGGAATACCATTTTAAAGAAATTAGAAACAAAAAAACCACTTCAACTTAAAAGCAGAAAGAGAGTTGGAATTCCTAGGTCAAAATATGAGGAAAGAGGACTTAGAAATTTGATACTCACAGGGTATATTGAAGGTAATAGGGACAGAGGAAACAGCCCATAATCTACCTAACAAGCTTGTGTAAATGGCTGGTAGAACAGCTTTTAGGAGAGATACGGAAAAGACATGTGCTATCAGTAATTACTCAGGGCAGGCAGCTTGAGATCATTTTGTAGTAAATCTATAAAAAATAAAATATTTTGCATTTCATACATAATAATCACAGTAATCTTAATAATTCTGTTGGATTAGGTGCATATTGTACCACAGAAGGAAAATGTAGCTTAAAAATGATCTATTTTATTCAGGGTAGACACATCCTTATATGTCTTAAAATAATTGTCGGACTTTGTCCATTTCATAATGTGTGACGTCATTTGTTTACATTTGATATGCCATGAGCAGATATGAGTGTACATGAGAGATTCATGGAAGATTGAAGTTTAAATACAGTAAATTCAACCTTGCTAACCAAACGCTCCTTCGGAGATGTCAAGCTAAATGACGGTTCCATATAGGATGCAGGTTCGAATCCTGTCGGAGGAGGAATATTTTCTGTAAAAATTTCTCAGACATTCAAGTCAGTAAATGTTGTTTAATACTGTTTATTATAAACAGAGCATTTACTTAAATATTTGTATCTATAAAACGAATGTATAAACATAAAAATGTCTTAAAATATATATATATATATATATGAAATTTATTTTAGGATATTATACAGAGAACATGTAAAGATTGCTACACAATTGCAGTTGTTTCACACATTGAAACAACTGCAACTATGTAGCAATTTTTACACGTTTTGGTGTAATATCCTAGAATAAATAATATTGCTCTACCCTGTACTGAGCCCTCTTAAATTAAATGTTACAAATGTTGGAATTGTACTCTATTCGTTCTCATCATACCTGGATATATATATGAGATACATAATGTTTCTGGATATTTAGACAATCAAATCTATAGAAATATAAAGGTTATATAAAATTTTAGACGCATACAAACTGATGGATTCATTTAAACCTTCCTTCTCTATTTCTCTCTTAAAACCTGTTATCTGTCTGTCTTTCTGTCAATCACTCTATCTATGTTTCTCTCTCTGATCATATCTATCATTTTTAGAATGGATTTTTTATTAATCCAGCAGATTTTATTTCACTTTGAAACTTATTTTTAGTGGATATTCGTATTTGAGGAGGAAAAAAAATCTGTTTCTATTTGAAGACAAAGCTGTGCAAATCTGACAAATTTCAAGAGATCTGTAATAACTGAAATTTTGCTTGAAGACACAAAACATTGGCCTTGTCAAACTGACTGTTCTTTGTGGCTAAGTTGGTTAGAGCATGCTGGGCTTAACAGTAGTTCCCTCTGCCCTGAAGGAGATGGGTTCAAATCCTGTTAGAGAGAGCAAATATTTCTTTATTAAGATTTCTCAAACATTCAGGCCAATAGACGAAAATAAATAAATACTCAATTTTGAGTATCCACTAAAAAAGCTTAAAGCTATCTCTCAATCTCTATGTATTTCATTCTGTTCATAGCTAGCTAGCTATTACAGATTTTTCATAGCTAGCTAGCTAGCAATTACAACATTTTCATAGCTAGCTAGCTCAGTTCATATCTATATAGCTCAGTTTGGTCATATCTATCAAGCTCAGTTTATTTATATATATATATATATATATATATATATATATATATATATTCATCTATCATAATCTCTTCATATCTGTCACAGCCTGTTTTTCTCTCTCTCCTTTTTTTATCTATCTGTGCATAGATATATTTCCTCATATGCATTTATTCAATCTCTCCAACAAAAGATCAGCAACAGAGGGCACTTCGTTTCTTTTACTTTAATTTTCATATATTTTTTCTGTTAACTTATCGTTACATCTATTTTCTTTTTTTATATCAAACTGTCTCCTTTTCCACTTTGATATTCCAGCTTTCAAATCACACCACTTTCTACTTCCTTCCTTTTTTTATTCTCATTTTACTGTTGGTTTCTGTGTCTGGTTACATTTTGCAGACAATGAAATAAGTTCATTTAGTAATGCTTTGTAAGTCTCATTACTTTTCTATCTTTCAAACTTGAAAAGAAATTTGCATAATAACAATATAAAAATCAAATGATCAAAGATATGACTGAATATCATGCCATATACATATCAATTTATTTATATAATTGCATTTATATATATATATATATATATATATATATATAAAGCAAAACAGTGTGTCTGTGGATAACTATATATATGCTCCCAGAGATCTGATAGAGCAATCTGGAGAAAAGGATGATTTTAAAAACAGTGGCTGCTGTTGCTATTAATGCATTGCTCTTCAATTGTGAATTGAGCTCTCCTGGCTACTGGTGTATTTCATATAGAAAAATGTTAAAAAATTTCTCTCACTGCTGTGCACCAACACCTTAGGGGTAAGATCTCTGACTGATGCTAAATTGGTTGAGTTTCGATCCTGGCTTGAAGCAATCAGGCATCTAGTCACACTGATGAGCTGTGATACAGTCTGTCTGTGGATGATATATATATATTGTTTGGCTTACAGCTATATCACATTGAAAGACCGGTTCTCATCCAATCACAAAAATTAAGCAATGTTGAGCCTGATCAGAACTTAGATGAGTGACCACTTAGAAATACCAGGTGTTGTAAGTGTAAATATGCAAGTGGCATAATAAATGAAAAACCACAGACCTGAGGTCGAAATTGAAATGAAAACCTGTTCTTGCTAGACTGAATTTTGCAAACGAGCATTGTATAAAACCTGCAGCATTTTGGGAAAATGTACTTTGAACAGACAAAACGAAAATTGAACTTTTTTGGCAGAAATACTGTGGCAAATGTCTGGAGAAAAGGTACTGAATATTTGCTGAAGAATACTATCCCAACAGTAAAATTTGGAGGCAGATCAATCATGATCTGGGGTTGCTTTAGTGCCCAAGGTGTAGGGAACATTGAAATAATAGAAGGGAGAATGAATGGAGCATATTATAGGGATATTTTGCTGAGAAATTTATGTCAGAGTTCACATTCCCTGGGCTTGAAACCAGGTTGGGTCTTTCAAAAGAATGATCCTAAACATACTGCAAAGCCTACAAAATTATGGTTAAGTTCAAATAGAACAGACATTCTAAAATGGCCAAGTCAGTCTCCAGATCTCAATCCACTGAAATTCATAGGAGACTACTCTAAATGCCTACATGCTGTAATTAGCAATAATGCAATAAAATATTAATAGACGATTTAATAAATGTACTGTAAACTTTTACATTATTAAATATTGCTTTTCTTCACGGGATATTTTTATTGATTATTTCTTTTTGTGAATCTGTGTGACTAAAGGCTTAAACATATGCATTATTAGCAGTAAAAGTTTCATTAATCTGTGTTAGAAATACCTAAAGAAACATTTTTTGTAATATATTGTAAACTTTTCAGTGGCACTGTATATCAATTTTTATTTTTTTAAATGATTTTGTTTTGCAAATTTGTTATTTTAAGTCTAATCTCAGCCATGTTTGAGAAAACAGAACACCAAAAGGAAATGAGAACTGACAGCAAGGCCTGTAATCGAAAGGTTTTGAGGAACCACCATATAATTGTGGTAGCACCTAATAAGATCCCAGTTATGGGCAAATATTAAACCCCAAACTGTGGTCAAAACACTATGAAAGTATAAGAATATATTTTATGTTAAAAATACCAGCAATATATTTTTTAAAATTTTAACAGCAATACATTTAAAAAAATATTACAGCAAATTAATTTTTTTAGAAAAGTATATTACCTGCAATACATTTGACTCGACAAAAACTCTCTTTACAAAAATACATCAATGAAACCTGATCTACAAACTGATCTTTTACAAAGAATACATATTCTATTCATGTGAAGCTATCATAAAACAAAATCAAACCAAACTGAAAAGAAATGAGGAATATTTTGGAAGAATATTAGAAAGCAAAAAGCTATAGAACCATTTTTTTCATGCTGTTCAGTGTTCCAAAAAAATTGATCAGTGCATCTTTAAGAAATGGTAAAAAGAAAACATGGTTGTAAATTGTCAAAGATCCGGTGTGCCAAGAAGAATTTCATGAGGTTGCTGTTTAAGAATTGTTCAAAAGGTCAAAGATCAACTAAGAGCTACTTGTAAAGAACAAGTTAATGATCAACCATGACAGTATTAACCCTCCAAAGAATTACTCACACATTGTATCAAGAAAGAAGATAAAAACATCAAGCTCACTAAGTATCTCTAATGAAGGAAAGGCATCTTAAAGCACACACTATATTTACCAGCAAGCTTATCAATAAAGAATATGCATTTTTTAACAACATCTGTGATCAGAAAGACCAAAGTCAATTTATTTTGGCAACAATTATATTAACACTAGTGCACACTTGCACTCCAAAATTATGGAAATTGTTAGAAAGTTTTAATAGTGAGATGCAAGGAAACAAATGTTTTGGAAAATGTACCAAGATTCAGTTATGTGCTATGTGTGATACATGCATAGGCGATCATGCATCTTTTTGATACATGACTGACGAGGCAGATTTTTTCCCATACAGTAAGTTGCCATTTCTTTCTATGACCAGTTGCCACCAAGGATATGGAACCTGGTCTGTTCTGCTATTTACCCATAGCTGTGGTGGTGGGTGAGAAGAGGATTCATACCTTTCCCAAGGGTATTAGCACACAAGTGTATGTAATGAATGACAGGAAGCATGGTGGAGTAGTGGATAGCAGCTCAGATTGAGGAATCAGAGAGCTGAATTCAAATTCCTGTCAAATCCATTACATTCACTTACATGCTAATACCCTTGGGAGAGGTATGAATCCTCTTCTTCTCCTACCAGCTATGGGTAAATAGCAAAACAGACCAGGTTATATAGCATCGGATGGCAACTGGTCTACCACAGAAAGAAATGGCAACCTACTGCGGAAAAAAATCTGCCTCGTCAGTAATGTATCAAAAGATACACGATTACCTAACCATGTATCACACATGCCTCACATGAAAGGCTTGAACAAACAAGACTGCAATCTAAGAAACATAGGAGTAAAAGGACTGATTAATTAAACAGTTCATTTTGATCAGAATGTAATTTTGTCTAAATGCAGATAAATATTTTATTTTTGTAGATTATTTAAATAATTATGAGAAGCAATCACTTATAAATTTATTAACAAGTTGATTTATCTCCCTTCCAACTACAGATGGGACAGGAAATATATAAATAAATATGTATTGATCATTATGACATGGTTTGATTGATGATTGTATGGCAAAAAACAGACAAAACTTATGATCCAGAGTGCACCATAGCTCCTAGGAAGCATAGAGATAGCAATATCCTGATATGGGGATGCTTTTTTGCAGTGGTATAAGCAATCTACATACCACTGAAGAAAATATGAATCCTTCAAAATATTTGGGAAGAACTTCTCATTATCTCTGCCAGAAAACTAATGAGACATGACTGGATTTGAAACTTCTATTTTTTTATTAGCATTCTCCCAATACAAAGCTCAAGAGCCACTCAAGCTAGAGACCTACTAAATGACATTGCATGAATGTAAGGAGAAGAGTTAAGAAGTGTAGTTTATTAGGTTATATAAAAGAGATAACGGTTAACCCTAGACTTGAAGAGGATAACATTGTAGTGATCAGGAAAAATATCTTGTGACATTTCTAGGGAAGATGCTATCTGAGCAAAATTTCCTTTTTACTCATGGAATACAAAGTGAATATGGATAATTCTTCCTGGCAGGTCTGAGCTATGAAGGTAAGAAATGATTAGAAAATAATCAACAAATCTTAATCAAATTGAAAATTTATGGTAAGAACTGAAGACTAAAATCAGACAATTGGTCAAGAATATTGGCCAATCACTGCAAGAATGTGATATTATTGGAGTGTTTAAAAGTAATGTTGGCTAACACTACTCATACAAACAAGTATTAACAAATTGTTTTTTGATGGTACATATATATTTTGCTTCTCAATTTTTTCTCCAAATAATGTCTTATTTACAATGCTTTTGGCAATAAATTGCTGATTCCAAATACTATTAACTTATCATATGACAAATTTCAAATATTTGTGATACATTTATAGATGTCAATTTAAAGAAAATAGCATATTTTTGGCATGGCTTATTTGACCTATTTTGTGGGTTTATACATATATTTAAAATGGATAAATTAAAATTTAATAATTTTTATGATGGGTAAATTTACATTTATAAATAACTCTAACATTCGCACATGTTTTTTTTTTAAAATAAACATCACAACTGGATGAAGATCTTATTGAAGTTACAATAAATTTGTCTTTGAAGATGATCTTGGAAAGATTGAAAATACTTGGGTTAGAAAAAAAACTACAGTGTCTTCCTTAATGAATTTCATCTTAACATCAAGAAACTGATTAGAGAACTGGAAAGTATAAAACTAGACATAATATGTGTAAATTATTCAATGAATAATATATACACATAGAAAAAATATATATATATATATATATATATATATATATATATATATAAAATAAATTCATTTATTTTTATTTTTAAAAAACAGTGCTCAATAAAACAGTAGAGCATTATATTATAATTGTTTTTTTTTTAAATATATAATCATCACAACACTGAAATTCCCATGTTTCAAAACTGAAACCTCACTTTAAATTCAATTATACAAATTAAATGTAAAATACAAGGTTTCGTTCCATCATCAAGTGGTGGTAAGAATAACTTTGAAATTGATTCACTTAATTTATAAGTCCAGATAAATTTGATATTTTGAGATGTTGGGGTTAAGGAAAATTCCATCTTTTTTATTTTAGGGGTGTTAAGATTTAACTTATTTAGAAAACTCATGTATCTAATGCATTGTAGCTATCAAGTCGGTCAAGTCAAGGTGGTTTAGAACAATCACGTTGTGAAGACAAACACTCCTCCTCCACCTTGAGAAAGAGAGCTATTTATGGTGCCATGGAGCATCTCATTTTGTTCAAGTGGGATAGTCCATTGCTTGGGCTGTGATTGGCTGCTGGTACATGACTGGAGGTATTTCTGTATAAATACCAGCTTGATTTCAGTCTGTTTGCAGGGTTTGTATTGAGTTACAACCTGCTTTATTTTTGTTTGCCAGCTGGATGCTAGCTGTGACCCTTACGCTGGTAAGTGTTGTTGTTCTATTGTTATTCTACAGGTGGGGGTTGTCTATTGATACAAACTTCCTTTTTCCAGGTAGAAATTTGTGGTAGTGTCAATATTCCATAATATTGCCTGGGTTTCAATAGCAATACATTTGGCATTTTATTTTTAATTTTTATTTTTATATTTAACTTTTCATGTATGCACAAAGGACATTTGTCATTTAAAGATCTACAAGTTCTTGTTTCTTTTATTAATTTTCATTTCACCCTGGTTGTTTTATTGTTTTCTTTTAAATTCAAGAGATGTTTAGATAAGGATGTTTGGCTGCAGTATTTAGTATTATTGAAGGAACTTTGGTGTTGGTTCCATCTTAATTTAAATTCATTCTTTGTACATCCTACACAGACAGACATCATTAGAATTTTCAATAGATGAGATATTGCATTGATAAACTACGGATTTTATATCACACACACACATATATT